TCGGGGACGCCGGGAGGGACGTTGCCATAGGAATAGCGCTCAGTACCCCGACCCGAGGCGCGCGGCAGAGGCGAGAGAGGAAGGCTCGCGAGACCCGCTGTGCCCCAAGCGAACACACCCGGCCGTTCCCTCACAGGGCTGCTTCGCCCAGCCAGCAGCGCCCCCACAGCTCCGCGCCTTCCCGCGCTGCTCCACAGAAACCTTACCTTCCGCCATGTCGGGCCCAGCCCTGCCTCAGCCTCGCGAGAAGTGCGCCGCTCCACTTGGGCGGTGCGTAACGGAGGTGCCCAAGTCTCGCGAGAGTCATGGGGGCCAGGGAGAGGGAGGGATCGAGACTAGGTAAGAGCAGTGAATGAAAGTGGAGGTAGCTGGACGCGGGAGGAACCGAGAGCCTAGCTCTCTTCACCTATACTTTCGAGGCTCTGGACTTATCAAGCACTGACTGGGCTCTATCATATTACACGCCCTAGGCAGGGGACTGAAAGGGATGGACGCAGCGAGCATTGACTACTCTTTGGGAAAATGTGGCCACGAGAGGGTCGAGAAGGGGGTTTTCGTGGTTTTTAGGTTTGTTTGTAAAGATGTGAGAGGCTGAGAGAAAAGAGCCAAAGGAGAGGGAAAGGCTAATGAAGGTTCACTAGCCTGGGGAGGCGGGATGCCCTGCAGGCGAATTCAGAAGGAAATTTAGGGGAAGGGATTAACTGTAGACTACAGGCAAGTCACTTGTTTTCTACTAAAACATTAGGAAACAAGAACGTGCATGCAGATGGATGTGGAGGTAAGAGATATCAGAGAGATTGCTTGGTGACATCGTTTTTATGGTTGAAGTTCATAGGCAAGGGGACCAAAAGAGTGAAGAAAATTTGGGAGAGGAATCTGAATTTGGAAGGCCTGGTTGCACGTGTCTTCTGAGTGTGTGGATGGGTCACTTTTTTCTAGCAGAACTCAGCCACCTGGCTGCAGAAGCAGAGAATATGGATTGTAGCATTTGCGCAGGGCTTGGGATTCATTGCCAAAAAGAAACTGAGAGTGCTGTGAGAATATAACTCTGGTGCAGACTGGGTAGAGGCTGATGTACGAGTCATAAAACTGCAGGTCTCTATAATATTGAAGACCAATGCAGTGTGAACAAGGTTGTGAGAGCCCTGTGTTAGGGTGGCAAACTGAAGTTCATAAGTTAAACAGTACTAGGAGACAATAAACTCCAGGACAGAGTCATGGAATATGGTAGCTGAAGTGGAGGTGAGAAGCTAGAAAAATCAGATATTGGAATTCAGAGGTAGAGAAGGTAGGAGACCATAAACCAGGTGCTAAAATCTTTAGTCAATGTGGGGATGACTAATAGCAAAAAGGAAGGCTAACGAGTAATATAACTGAATAGTGTGAAACCTGTCAAAACAGATTTTTACTCAAAGGACAATCAAAAGAATGTGGATTGCACCCATTCCTAGAAGCATCCACAGTTAAGGACTGAGGGGGAAGTGGTGGCCCTGGAGAAGAGCCAAGAATAAGAGATGACAGGTTGAAGGAAGGATCTGAGAACAGGATGAGGGTGTCAGAACAGAAAAGGGGGAGGATTTGAAAGTGGAGAGATTTTAGGTGCTGCCAAGGTTAACCATTTAGTGGGTAGTGAGGTAGAGTGGAGAAGGAATTTGGAGTTTAGATCATGGTAAACATAATCATGGGGTTAAAATGTTGAGGAAGGAGGAGGAATTCTGAGGGAGGGACACCTGGGAGATGAAAGGGGAGAGGGTATTGAAATGTTTAAGAACGGTGGTGTGCTCAGGGAAATAGCGTTCCAGTTGTGGCAAGAGACTAAAGATGCGGAAGAGGCGTGGGCAGGGAGGTGCGTACAGCAGCTGCATCGAGCAAGCAGAGCTTAGAGGGCAGGAGAGCATTTGCCAGGCTTAATGGAGGTGTCATGGCTCAAAGCTTCCCTGTCAAGAATGGTTTATAGGTGTGCTAAATGGTGAGCCCTTGGGGCCACTAGGGTAGCCAGGCAAGACAGTCTCCTCTGGCCACAGGCAGCCTCATCTGTTTTATCTCAGAGTGCCCTACAAATATTTCCTGGGTCATAACATAAATGTGATCAAGAAGTCCTGTCATAGCTGATGTCTGGTTTTGCATCATATGACTTATCTTTGCCTCTTCACCAGTACCAGCCTAGTGTCTGGCATACAGCAGGTGCTCAAAATGTTTTTCTTTTTAATACATTCTTTTTAAATTAATTATTATTCATTTTTAGTTGCATTGGGTCTATTGGGTCTTCATTGCTGTGCGCGCGCTTTCTCAGTTGCGGTGAGCAGGGGCTACTCTTCGTTGCGGTGCACGGGCTTCTCACTGTGGTGACTTCTCTTATTGCGGAGCACGGGTGGCACACGGGCTCGATAGTTGTGGCTCGCAGGCTCAGTAGTTGTGGTGCACAGACTTAGTTGCTCCATGACATGTGGGATCTTCCCAGACCAGGGCTCCAATCTGTGGCCCCTGCATTGGCAGGCGGGTTCTTAACCTCTGCGCCACCAGGTAAGCCCTCAAAATGTCTGATGAGCTGTTGCTGTGAGCTATACCGGGAGTCAGGGGAACTGGGTTCAGATTTGCCTCTGCAACTGATTTGTTGTGTCGATCATGGTCAAGTCCCTGTACGATCTATGCTACCATCTCAGATTCTCCATCAGTTTCAAGAAGGAGTTGGACTAGAATCCATGGTTCTTAATAACTTGGGGGATCATGACCTTGGAGAATCTGATGAAAACCAGGGACCCGCTCCCTTAGAGCAGCACACAGGTAGCAGTAAACAAATGTGCCCTTTTAGTTTGCTTGGCCTAGATGCCCACAGTCAAACAAGAACTCATCTTAAGGGATTTAATCAACTCAAGAGCTTCACTACCTCCTCATCACGAACTACCTTCAAGAAGCCCTCTAGCAGAGGTGAAAGCACTCTTCTTAGCGCTGTCTGTAATATAACCCTATCTCTGGGCCCTTGTCTTCTGAATAGACTCTTACTGGCTTGAAACCCCTGAGCTATAGGACTACTTAATACACCCTGTAAAATAAAGCATCTACAGTACTCAGTGAATTACAATACCCAACAGGGTTGGATGGAGCTACAATATTAGATATGACCTGAGAAATCTGAGCACTGAAACATGATTCATTTTAGACCTAATTCATGTTTTGTCTGATTTAGAGGAACTTTGTATGAAGTTGTCCCGGACATGGAGCATGAAGTACAGGAAGGGAAAGATGCTGCCTGCCTTAAGAGCGTAGGGGAACAGACTCTTTCTGGGGAGGTAGTAGACTCTTATCTGGGGAGGTAGATAGAAGGGGATAGGGAGGGAATCACTAGACTGGTAGTCCAATGAATTGGGTTCAAGTACAAGCCTCAACACACCTCAGTCTCTACGTGACCTGGGAAAAAATATCCCGGAGGTAAGAAATAATGGCACACGGTATGTAAGGGAAGTCATGAAACTGAATCCCAGCCATGAAACCTACTTGCTGTACAGTCTTGAGAAATTAATCTGAACCTGATTCTGCATGAGGACCCTTGTAAGAATTTGACTAGATCCTTTACGAAACACATCTAGCACAAGCCTGCCACAAAGTGGAGGCTCAATAAATAGGAACTTGATTACTGGTGCTCATGAGGGTTAAAGGAGAGGTCACAGTGCTAACACACACAGTACTATTATACTGCACTTGTTCTTAATGGAGACTGCTGGCAACGGAAAACCAAGTACCTTATCTATGACTTTCTGTGCAGCTATGTCTAAGATGTGTCTGGCTGCCTTTTTTGAAAGCCTTTCCCTTCTCCTTCACTGCAGCCCAGTGGGGTGTGCAGACTCCAAGAGACAAAGAAGACTAGTCCTACCTAGACAGCCAGGTTACACCATCTGAAACTGAGCAATCAAAAATACCTGAATCCCGTTGGGGTTTGCAGTCCTCCAGAAAACGAACAATTTTAATTTGGTGAGGTGTTACCAACTCTTACAAGAAGGAGGGGGAAAACCAACTGATCCTTCCTCAAAGCCTATGGCCTTGCACACAGTAGACAAAGTCAAAAGCTGTTCATTTGCATTGGACAGCATGGGAATAAAACTTTTTTGCTATATACCTCAAGTAGATGATTATGCTTACAACTGATATTTAAAGTTTAGGGACATCATCTAGACCTTTCTATAATAGTTTTATTTCAAATATATTTTTCAGAAAAATTAAACCCTGAAAACTGAGCCCCCATTTTCCCCAAACTGCTCTCAAGGAGGATTTTCTTCTTGTGATTAAGAAATTAGGCTGCATGTTCTTTTCTCGGAGTTTGTAAGGAAGAGGCCTTAAAACCACTGGCAACTTCTATCAAGACAGACAAGCTTTCAACACCTAACAATGTAAATCCATATAAACTATATATAAAGATGCAGGGTGAAAAGCTGAATATTTACATCCTGAATCCTGTTGTGGTTTGCAGTCCTCCAGAAAAAGGGAAAAAATTGTTAAGGGGGAAAAAAGTACTCAGTTCTTGCTGCATTTGCCACTAACTTACTGAGTGGTACTGGGCAGGTATTGGGGCCAAGTTTGCCCATCTGTTTAGAGGAGGGAAGGTGGGGATTGAGATGGTGCCTGTGTTCTCTTCCAGTTGACGTTTGAGACCGGGTTCTTCACCTTTTGGCTTATCTTCATGGTAGAACCAGTCTAGGCCAAAGACAAAATCCCAAATAATGCTCTAACATGTGCTCATTTTATTTTATATAAGGTTCTAAATCAGCATGCACGAAATTCTGATTAAGAATGGTGGTTGGCCGCGTACTGGAAATTTTAAGACCGTTATATCAGGTTGGAAGTAAAGTGAACTTCCTACCCTCTGGTTCCTTCTTTAAGTAAGGTTTTAAAATTTTTTTATCTAGATTCCCCTGTGGACCCTTTGCTATCATGTGCTGTTTATATAGAAAGAATCCCATAACTTGCTTTGGAGACCTGCATCCTGAAACCAAAATAGCTCATGATACAGCCTCTAAGTCATCATTTATTGATTTATAGAGCACCCATCACATGATCGAGGTGCTTTACAATACAGTAAACATCACAACAGAACTCACATAGTTAAATACAATCAACAAATTACAGAACTAAAAAAAAAACAAACAAAAAACTGGAATGAAGCAACATTATGTCAAATTTCAAAGATGCTGAGAAGTGGCAGTACACAAAAGGTAATTCCACCAACTGGGGACCAGACAGGCAAAGATACACAGGCACCACAACCCCAAACGGGGAGATCTGTAGAGGGTGAATGAGCATATAAAATAAAATTTCACAACCAAGAATGAAGGCCATTAAAGACACTATGACACCCAAGTAATCACAGAACTAGTGGAATAACCTCACAAAAATATTACCTTGTAATGACAAGAAAACCAACCTCATTTGGATTTTAAACTCACAAGAGGCCAGAAAGCCACTGAGCTCACCCATCCTATTATGAGCACAGACTGAAATCGATAAGCCTTTACAAGAACTTGGAATAAATTTAGGAAACAGGCAACGGTTCTACAATCCATAAGACTATGCAGGTGTTGTTGATGGTTGGCACGAGGTCAGGGAGAAAAATCCTTTTCCTAAAGCAGACAAGACTCACACTAATGATGAGGCACTGCTGGGACAAAAGCCACCTGGATCAGTGTCACCTGAGTGTGGTTTAATATCAAATGTAGAGGCATTTAGATTCACAGTCAGATGAACACTGGGAAAGGCACAGATGACACCTCTGACAGAGGAAAAGAAGCCAAAACATCTCTCGAGGCCTGTGTTTCCATATGTAGCACACTCAGGGCACCAGGTGGAAAGGGGTGTCATGAGACGTGCACTCGTTCCTGGCTCTCCTTCTACCCCCATGATCTAGCCCTAAAGAACACATGGTTACACCAAAGTAACTGCATTAATGTGGCACTTAAAGTTCAAGAATAGTTGTCCCTGAGTTACTAGGTCATTTGCTCCTCTCTGAAGAGTCAAATCCCAGGTTTTAACTCAAGAGATTGCTAGCAGAATTACAGCAATAGGAGAACAAAATTCAGACTCCATCTTGCCACAAGCAAGCACCATGTGAACAATTTCTGATTTAAGAATAAAAAGGGATTGCATTCAAAGTCCCAGGTAGGCATGCAGTACTGCTGGCACTTTGGGGCAACAGTGTTTACAGAGTCTTTGAAAAAGTATAGTCACACGCCAAGTTCTTGAAGAAAATTGGGCTGCAATGAATCAAACAATTTCACATTCAGCCATTACACATTTATGGGCTTTTTTAATGCTTCAGAGTGAAGAAGAGACTGACATTTAGAAAAATCACTCTCTACTGTGACTACATCCTCAATTATTTTACTTCTGCTTTAAAAGACATGCAAGTTCATAAAGGACTGGCTCCTTGCAGGAATCCTTTCATTCTTCTGCCCAAGCATTTCTCCAAACCCCCCAGAGCAGAGATGCACCAATTCTCACTGATTCTCACAATTAATCACCATGTCCCATCAGGTACTGTCTCAAGTTCTATCCCTTATATGCCAAAGACTACCTCCAAGTCCCAGCCTCACACCAAACACAGAGGAACCTGGGCACACCTTTAACACTGCACATGCTCATTTTACATTTCCTGAAATTATTTTTGAAAACTTATGATATGAAATATACTCATGCTCAAACAGTAATAAAAATCCAAGTGCAGTATGTCAGTGGCAAAATCTGTATATGTCAAATAACAAAGCCTTTACATCCCTGTAATGCTTTGGGATTCACATAAGAATCTATACAGAACCCAATACATATACTGCCATGGCCATGTGATTTTCAAGTATTAAATTTGTTTGCATAAGGAAACAACCTGAGATTTTTCTAAACTGCACTTCTCTGGCACTCAGTATTATAACCTTCATTCAATACAATAAAAGCCAACAACTTGACAATTATTGGAAAAAAATTATATTTTGGAAGAACTCACTACATAAGGTGACAGAATTCCAAAATCAAATTACATGAAAATATACATCGCAATTTCTTTGTACAATAGGTGAGAAAAATCTGCAGTATAGAGGATAGAGGCAAAGAAATATGAAGAGCTAAGGAGAAGGGTGTGTGGGTAAACAGCATTTTTAATAGCAAACCCAGAAGTTAAGTAGAAAGCCTGCAGCTGTGCATGCTTTATTCATCCAACCTTCACATTAGGTAACTGAGGGCAAAAATAAAACCAAATCAGAATTTTGTATTGTTTGGGGTAAATTTCAATCATTTTAAATCTGAATTGAATTCAGAACCAACTCTTTTTAGGTCTTGGGGATAATGACTGAATTCAAGAGCTCTCAACAATGAAAAAAATGTTATTGCTATATCCAATCCAAGAGATGGGTGCAAGTATAATACAAAAGGGATGAAGCACCTAGTGATGACCATTCCTCTGAAGTCATCATTAAAAATCAAGTAGTTGCTTGTTGAGTGTTTCAGTATTTGAACTAAATGATCCTGGCAGACAGAAGAGACAAAAGCAAAGGGGAGTGTGTCAAAACAAAGAAGATACAAAGTTTAGTAAGTGAAAAGAGTTTAATGAAGCCTCAATGGTTTAAAGGAAATTAAATGGAAACTTTTAATCCTAATTGCTTTTTATCTGACATGCTTTAAGGAGTCTTTTAAAACTGATAAGAAACAATGAATAGGGAAAGAAAACCTGCTAAAATCTTTTAGAATTTACACGATTCTTATTCTACTACAAGAAAGCATTATTTGGTACAAGGTGTGTTTGTGGATGTACATGAACAGTATATATATTATCCGGATCATGTTGTGCTATGTACAGGTCTTTACAATTCTTCCTGAAGGTTAAAACAGTTCATTAGAATTCAAAATGCGTAATCATCTGTAAGTTGGCACTTGTTAGGCTCTTGTCAGCATTGATACTGGCATGTTTTATTGCAGCCCAGTTCCAGCCAGTGTTTGCCAACTTGTTACAACAGAAGTCCAGCAATAGGTGGGTAGAGTGCAGGAAAAACAGTGCCATGTTTCTCAATTGGAGACCTACAAGAAAGCAAACAGCATTATATAATGATTTTATAAATTACAAAAGAATTGATTGATTAGAAATTTTTATTTGTATTCCATTTCTTGGGAAACAAATTTTTCATTTCACTTTAAGCTCACTTTTGTGCTTTTCCAATATGATAGCCACATACAACCATTTCATTTTAAATTCAAATAATTGTTAATAAAATTTTAAATTTAGTTCCTCAGTCACACTACCCACATATCGAGTGCTCAGTATGTCTACTGACTACCATGTTGGACAATGCAAATATAGATTATTTCCATCAGTGAAGAAAGTTCTATTACTAAGCTTTAACTTAGATTTCTCTAGGTTCAGTCCAAACCTATATTATCCGTGAAGCCTCTGACAACTGACCTCTCCCAATTAGAGTTCCCTATTGTTTTGTATCTGCTAATCTCATGTGTTCAATTCGACTAGAAGAACCACAGCTAAATAAAAACAACTACCACCTTATCGAGTGCTTATCATGTGCCAAGCAGTATACAAAGTGCTATACAAACTTATCTCATGTAATGCTCATAATCACCATATGAAGGGGTTTCCCCCATTTTACAGAGAAAAGAGAGACAAGGTCACAGAGCTAATTAATAAGTGGCAGAGTTTCCTGTTAAAAAGGTTAGAAAAAAACACTAGTTTCAATTAAATTAAAAAAAGTCTAATTAAATGATTGGACTTTTCAGAGCTTTTATTATATGAATGTGTCCTTTGAGTATGTAGCGGGAGCAGGGGAGGAGAATACCTATTACTATTACATCGGATCAAGTACTCCAGAAACACTGAAGTCTGTATCACCTGCCAAGCCAATGCTGGTCACAAAGAAGTCTAATAGAAGATGACTGGGAATCCAAGGGATATAATTTTAAACTCCTAACAATGAAGCCAAATGTACTTAGAGCCATGGCAAATATTTAACTCACACCAGATGTGTGAAAAGTTCAGTGTGTCTTCTAAATCCCCGAATGAATTTATCAATATTACAATCACCCGAATTCAACCATACCAGAGGTCTGATGTGGGCAAGAAGAAAGCTGTGGGCTTATCTATGGCCGAACATGTGCCTATTTCCTGAATTTAGACTACCTCCCTAAGACAGCTCCTGAGAAGTAGAATGACTGCTAAATTTCTCTCCAAAGGGCTCATACCAATCAATGTAAATGGTCCCCAGCAAAGCACTGAATCCACCAAATATGAATATACCACCTTCACCAGCAATCAGGTTCTATTGTTTGCACACAGATACACATATGTGCACACGTTTTATTAGAAAATCTAAAGACATAGACTGATACTCAAGAGAAATCATTATGAATAGGACTGTAACTTTTAGGTTATGTTACTTAAGTGTTTTTCCAAAGACTACATATCACACCCAAATTTACCCCTGCCCAGTTAACCTCTCAGGGCTGAAAAAGAACTGGGTATAGAGCTCGGGCATTCAGTAATCATTCCCTTATGATATGAACAAGAAATTTCAGGGTCACAAAAGAACCATTTAAAACCTGTTTCCATGTGAGGTTTTAAAGAAAAATACTCCAGAGAGGACTGACTATAGAAAGTCATTAACTACCTAAAATCAGGTATTTGAGCCTTTTAGTAGTTAGGACCCAGCTTTAAATAGCTTTAGCTTCTTCTTCAGCAAGAAAAGAAAAATCTATTCCCCCCGCCCCGCCTTTAAATAAAATATATTCTAAACAGACAAAAGGCCTTGGTACAGAAAAAGCAAGTTTGTTGTTCTTTTCTCTAGAAAGAGAAATGTGAAACTGAATTACCTGCATAACACTCAAATAAACGGTGCTGACCTAAAACAGTCATTTACAATTTGTAAGCATATCCCATTTCTGGTTTAAAATAAATCTTCTGTTGTGTGACTTTGTTAAAAAATCACACCATTTTTATATTAATGGAAATTATATCAACTGTATGTCTTTACAAAATAACTTAAGTATCTATTTTTTGCCTCAAACTTACACTTCATTATTCTTGATTTCTAACCTCCAAATCTGGAGATGGTTTAGTTGGAAAGTGTCTTGTTCCATTTATTTCTAAAACTAGAATCAAATCATTAGTTTTCCATGTGGCTACACAATTTAATCTTTCTAAAAGGCCTAAAAAAATAAAAAGCAGACAAGCGTGATTTCCAAAAAAAAAAAAACACTTTTTTTTAACACTTTTTGATGTTAAAGACAATATTGAAAGTAATTCGTCATTCAAGGGTAAGTGTCCCAATAAGCTCAACCATTCTTAAGTGAAAGCAGTCCATGAGTTAAATAGCTTAGTATATCAAGGAAGTTTTCCCCATTATCTTTCACACAGATGATTCCAAAAGTTCCAATTCATTCTACACTGCCACCAAATATACTACTTACTAAACAACAACTCTCCCCCTATCACCAATCCATCTGTTTTTCCCCCAAACTGAACTATTCTTTTTCTTTTCCTTATGTCATGCACTGGTGACCATCCACACACTTCCTTTCTGAGGTCGGTAATACCTCACTCTCCTAGCTCTCCTCCTTGTGACCAGGCAGCCCACATGTTTCTGTCCCCTAAATGTGGAAACTGTGCAAGATGCTGTCTTTGGCCCTAGTATGTACTGCTCTCTATACCAAATGAATGGTCATCTCTACTCTAGAGACTTCTAATCTCACCCGCAGCCCTACGTCTAACCTCTGTCCTAACCATTCAGTATCAGTCATACTTTCTCAAAGCTGCACCGTGTTTCTACTCCCACTAGAGCTCTGTGAGTGGTTTAACCTTTTTTATGCCTGGTCTAACTGGCTAGGTGAACAGCTCTCTAATGGCCTGGATAATGTCTATGGTACTCCTACAGAGCCCCTTCTTTCCCAAGAAAACAGTGCCTTTGTAAATATTCATTAACAAGAAATGAAATGAGCTCAGGGTCAGCTGTTCTTGGTGTTACCTCTCATTTCAAGATATAAATCTTAATCCTTAATAACATGCAACTGTTAAAAGGGAAGCAGATATACATTATTGAGCTAGTAAAATATCAAGACAATGTTAAATGGAAAGTACAGAGTGTATGCTATGTATACATTTATGTTATAAACACAGACACAAAATCACACTTGTGTGTACATGTGTGTTAGGGGGAGAGTAAGATTTCTGAAAGATTAAACAGTGTTTACTTCTGATAGCAGAACTGGGGAGCTGAGATGGAAAAGAGATTTACTTTCCCTTATATATAGCTGCAACTATAAAGGTAGCAGTCAAATTCAGAAGGAACCAAAATAGAGCCATGATATTTATGGGTTAGAGAAGATGTTTCTAGAAGGGAGATCAATAGTCAATTCAATTCAATTGCTACAGAGATTAAAAATCAAAACTAAGGGACTTCCCTGGCGGTCCAGTGGTTAACACTCCCCACTTCCACTGCAGGGGGCACAGGTTCAATCCCTGGTCGGGCGAACTAAGATCACACACGCCTCATGGTGCAGCCAAAAAAAACCCACTAAACTAAAATTAAGCCTTTGGATGTGGCAAACAGGCAGCCCCTGGTTTCCTTATTACGTTAGTTTTCTGTGGAGAGGGAAGAAGGTGAGGCAAATGTGCTGGAAGATTGACAGTTTAAAAAAAAAAAAAACAGGGCAAAGCCCCTTTGTTTCCCAGGTCCCTCTCTTCCTCCCTAAAGTTAAGTAGTACTACAAATTTTAAGAATTTTATATATTTCTTCTAGTCCTTTCTTTTTAAAAAAACTTTTATTCTATCGGATAACTATGATAGAATAAAATATAGTTGGTTTTACTTTATAATTTACATAAATGATATCATACTTTTTTTTGCAAATTGCTTTTCCTACTCAAGATTTGTGTTGAGGGCTTCCCTGGTGGCGCAGTGGTTGAGAGTCCGCCTGCCGATGCAAGGGACACGGGTTCGTGCCCCGGTCTGGGAAGATCCCACATGCCGCGGAGCGGCTGGGCCCGTGAGCCATGGCCGCTGGGCCTGCGTGTCCGGAGCCTGTGCTCTGCGACGGGAGAGGCCACAACAGTGAGAGGCCCGCATACCACAAAAAAAAAAAAAAAAAAAAAAAAAAGATTTGTGTTGAGATTTAACCATGTGATTATATATTACTAAGTCTACATTAGGTATTTTAGCTGATACAATAGAATATTGTAACTGATATTAATAGTAACTGATCAATTCTGATAGGCCTTTTAAAAATTACACACAATACTGCAAGCAATATCCTTGTATCATGTCTCTCTGTACACATGTGCTGGAGTTTCTCTAACCTATACACCTAAATTGCAGGATACGTGTTTTCAAATTGAGTAGATATTACCAAATTGCTCTCCAATGTTGACAGAACAACTTCACTCATACCAGTATTTCAGGTACACCACTTCCCGAAATCTTCACCAACACTTGGGTTTCTTGGACATTTTGGTTTTTGACAACCTGATGGATTTGATGTCATCCCCTGTAACTTCGTATTTCTGCTTACAAATACAGCTGAATTAATTTTTGCATGTATAACAACAATCATCTTTCTTTTTGCTTCTATTTATTATCTATTCATATCATTGTCCTTTGTGCTGATATTTTTCTTATTGCTTTGCAAAAGTCTGTAGATTCTAGATAGAAATCCTGAATATTAGATTTACAGAAAATTTTTCCCAGTTTGCCGCTTATATTTGTTTACTTTGTCTTGTCATAATATTTAAGTTTTTGGTTTTGATACAGCCAAATTTATCAAATTTTTTCCTTTTATGGGTGTTACTGGTGCCTAATAAATCCTTCTCTACCTTGATATTCTCCTGTATTTTGTTCTGATATTTGTTTTTCCTATCTGTCTTATGTTTTAAAATTTACTGGAGATAGCTTAGTCTCCTCCTTACCTCAGTCAACAAGATCACTATAGATCACCTGTATTAGTGGGAGTGAGGTGGATGCATCCTTGAAGCAGGTTCAGTAGAGTCTGCACTTTTCTTCATAATCTTACTGTAACACAAGAGATCAGAAAGCCTCAACGTTTAAGGAGCCCTAATTTTAAGGAGATACGGGTGAGATGTGGAGGCTAATCCTTAAATGATCTGAATATGAAACCCATCAAGGATGTGGTCCTATTGTGATAATCACATACTCCAAATGTGGTCTCAAATAAGCCATGAAGAAAATATGGCCACCTAGGAGGAACAGAAGCCGTATACATGGAGCCACATATACTTCTATTTGTGAGAAATGACTCTAGATTCATGCGTACACATATGCAACGAGGTAAGGCAGAAAATCTTCTATCTAACTGTGCTGGGTTACACAATGCCTACTATCCTGGGTGAGGTTATCTACGAAACAGATTCTCAGACAGGTATTTGTTTACTGGGAAGTGCTTCCAAAAACAAGAGTGAGGGAAATAGATCTAAGCAGAAGAAGAAGATGAACTGAGGGGGGCAGTTGAAATAAAGGCTTCAGTCAATCCCACACTGGAATGGCCCTTCAGATAATTCCCAAATTGAGAAAAAAGTCCAAGCCTTTGTATCAACCCATCCCTTACCCAAACCAACTAGTCCTTGGATGCAAGTGGCCTCTGGGGAAGGGGACTAACTTGGGCAAGTGATCTCTTTTAGCTAAGGGCAACACTCCTAGAAAGCAACTCAGCTATGAGTTATCAGTAGGCAACATGCCCAGCAGGCTGGGATATGATTATTTCCCTCTGGACAGAGACAGTAACATCCACTACACCCATAGCTTATCTTCTCTTATCATCTTACTTATTCCCTGATGAAGCCAACCAGCAAGTTGTGAGTTGACCTATGAAGAGGCCCATGTGACAAAAAACTTAGGACTCAGTCAATGGCCTATAAGGAATAGAAACCTGACAAAAACCAGTTGACTGAACTTGGAAGCAGATCCACCCACCACAGCTGAGCCCTGAGATGGCTGCAGTGCCAACCAACACCTTGACTGCAGCATTATAAGGAGCCCAGAGCCAGAAGAGTCAACCAAGTCATACATGGAACCCTGGCCTATGGTAACCATGAGATAAGAAATGCTGTTTTAGGGCTTCCCTGGTGGCGCAGTGGTTGAGAATCTGCCTGATAATGCAGGGGACACGGGTTCGAGCCCCGGTCTGGGAGGACCCCACATGCCGCAGAGCAACTAGGCCCGTGAGCCACAACTACTGAGCCTGCACGTCTGGAGCCTGTGCTCTGCAACAAGAAAGGCCGCGATAGTGAGAGGCCCGCGCACCGTGATGAAGAGTGGCCCCCGCTGGCCACAACTAGAGAAAGCCCTTGCACAGAAACCCAACACAGCATTAATTAATTAATTAATTAATTAATTAAATAAAATAAAATGACACTTAAAAAAAAAAAGAAATGCTGTTTTAAGTCACTGAATTTTAGGTAATTTGTAACACAGCAACAGAGAATTAATACAATCCCTCTAGCCTTGATACAGAACCAAAAGACCAAAGTCCTTTTGTCTAGTGGTATAGAATGTGGCCATGCTGCTGATCTATGGGAAAGGGAGGATTTGTTTCTCCCTATCTCCTCTCTCTTCATCCCATCCCACACCTGAATTAGAAAAAGGATATGGTTATTAATTATTAATAATCTTTATACAGGAGACACAGATACTACATGATTACACTTATATGAGGTATCTAAAGTAGTCACACTGATAGAAACATAAAGTGGTGGTTGCCAAGGCCTGAGGAGAGGGGGAATGGAGAGTTGTTGTTCAAGGGGTGGAGAAGTTTCAGTCGTGCAAAATGAAAAAGCTCTGGAGATATACTGTACAACAATGTGCATACAGTTAACAATACTGTACACATAAAACTTGTTAAGAGGGTAGATTTAGGTTGTGTGTTTACCACAATAAAAGTAAAATAAAGAAAATCTGGATCAAGTACATCAACACTAATGCTTCCAGTTAAAAGAAAATTATATAAGTTAGAGATTTTGATGTAAAAAATTACATCATTAAAAAATACTAAATTAAATTTACTTTTCATTCAACCCAAATAGAATGTACATTTTTCAAGTGCTTCTTGTGGGTTTTATTTCACATCATCCTATCACAAGACTACAGAGACTGAGGATATTCAGAAAGTGCATGAAAAAAGCAAGTCTTTAAGAAGAGTTTGAGGGCTTCCCTGGTGGCGCAGTGGTTGGGAATCCGCCTGCCGATGCAGGGGACACGGGTTCGTGCCCCGGTCCGGGAGGATCCCACATGCCGCAGAGCGGCTGGGCCCGTGAGCCATGGCCGCTGAGCCTGCACGTCTGGAGCCTGTGCTCCACAACAGGAGAGGCCGCAGCAGTGAGAAGCCCGCGTACCGCAAAAAAAAAAAAAGAAGAGTTTGAGTGATAGACTAGAGCTCGCTAAATCTGCCACAAAGCAACAGGTTTCTACAGTATAGCCATGGGCATAAAAATCATGTAATGACAGAGACATTTAGATTATGTGGGGCTTCCCTGGTGGCGCAGTGGTTAAGAATCCACCTGCCAACACAGGGGACACAGGTTCGAGCCCTGATCCGGGAAGATCCCACATGCCGCAAAGCAACTAAGCCTGTGCGCCAAAACTACTGAGCCCGCGTGCCACAACTACTGAAGCCCCTGCGCCTAGAGCCCGTGCTCCGCAACAAGAGAAGCCACCGCAATGAGAAGACCGCGCACAACGAAGAGTAGCCCCCACTTGCTGCAACTAGAGAAAGCCCACGCGCAACAACGAAGACCCAATGCAGCCAAAAATAAATAAGTAAAAATAAATAACTTTATAAAAAATAATAAAAAATAAAGATTATGTGGGCACCTCAACCCTACAGCTTACCTTGTTCTGTGCATTAGGTAGATGAGTAAAACATAGGCCCTTTTATAGAAGGTATTAGTTAAGTCATGGAGTCTGATGTGATTTCTTAATTTAATTTTCAAATGATTTCACTTTTAGTGCAATCCAAACAGATGACTGGAATTGGGTATTACTGAGGCATTATTTCCCAACTGCATCATATCACATGTAACAAGAGCAGTAAGACAAATTCATAAATGGCTAAAAGTTAAGACTCTAGGTGCTACAGTACTTCAGAAAGGGAAGAATTTGCTTGGGGATGAAGAGCAATAACTTCATGAAAGAAGGGAAATTTGAAATGGACCTCATCTCAAGTGGCAAAAGAAACAGAACACACATTCCAGACCCTTGGCACGGGAAATGGGTCGAGTATTTGAGTTGAATGAATGACGAGATACATTTCAGAAAGAGGGGGACTATATGAGCATAAGAGGGAAGCTACTAGTAATTGTTAATCAACATACAATAGACAAGACTGGGTCCCTGAATGCTAGTTAAGTACGTCTGCTTTAATTACTTTTTTGTTTGTTTGTTTTTTTGGCGGCACCACACAGCTTGTGGGATCTCAGTTCCCCAACCAGGAATTGAACCTGTGCCACGGCAGTGAAGTCTTAACCACTATACCACCAGGAAACTCCCCTTAATTACTTATTAATCAATGTTTCCCAAAGAATGTTTGTCTTTGGCCATAGGTGGGCCAAAGGATCCTCATGATGAGGATGAGCTTCAGACTGAAAACAAAATGCAAAATCGTTTACTCAGTTCTTACCGATGAAAAACACACAGTTCAAAGACTATAATTTTTTACACAGAAGCCTGAGCTTAATAGTAACACAATAAGTTAGGAATAGTAACTAAAATTAACCATTAAAATATTAGAGCATTAATTTAATTCAAAATTCTGTCCTATCTAATGTCCAGCTGCCACACACACCCTTCTACAACAGTGCACAGCCATTACAATGCACGAATGAATTTATATGTAGGACTTGCAACTTTAAAGAAGGATGTGTAAGCAGTGCTGACCTGTTTGCCAAGATTTCCAGTTATTGCTTCCTACACCTTTAATTGTAAGTTCTCAGTTTAGTTTCATCATTAACAGTATATTATACTGTTTTTCAATTAACCTATTCTATGCAAGGAGGTATTTTGATTCAACATTATTATTTGCCTCCATCTTCTTTTTACATGAACCTTAATCTTGATAAGTATACTTTAAAGACGTGTATGTTATGATCAAGTATAAATTAACTCTAATCCCACCAACAAAGAATATATAATCCCTTACAAAATTAGTTTGTGACACTTCATTCGTACTTATTTATTTTATTTGCAATATACTATCAAGGTAAAAAAAACTCTTGATTATTTCCTAAATTTATAAAGTACTGTTTATAAGGTAAAATCACACATAAGCTTAGGCTTCAACCTATTATTTCCTTCCTCTCAATTCGTTGTTGTCGCCAAGCTCTTTTCTGACTGGAAAATAGTATGGGTAAGGAAAACAAGCCCTGAAGTGCTTGTTGTTCCTAAGATATTGTCCGACCCATAAAAGAACCAATGCAATAAATGAGCTGAGCTTCGTGAAGACTAACATGGCAGTTGTATCCAGGACAAATATCTAGGATGAAGTGCAGGCCGACACAAAAGATGTTCAACTAGTAACAAGAACTTGACCTAAGGTGGTGGAAAGCAAGAGTCAAAAGAAAAGATGAGGATCACTGACTAGACATGTGGGAGGTATTAGATGTAATGATAATGAAATCAGGACAGGACTGTTAGCAAAAATAAACAAAACAGAAATAATTTGAAGACTGCAAGGTTATTGCTATATCTGTTGGGAACAAAGAGAAGTAAAGTTAATTTTCAGCATTTTAGGTTATTATAACAAGATCTAAAAGTAGATATGAGTCTTTTCAGAAACTTAGAGATAATCAAACATGAAAACAGAATGAAAAGTGGGTAGACTTTAGCTTAACTTCTGATTTACCTTTGCATTTGATACGTTTAATCATAAAAATCATAAATAAAAATTAAGACACTGTGATACCAGTTCAAGGATAGACAAGCCAACTAAGGAAACCTAGAAAGGTCAGAAACAGATCAACACATACCTGGAATGTAGTTTTACAACATAACCAACACTGCATATCAGTGGTGAAAGGATGGACTTGTAAATAAATGATGCAGTCAACAGTTATATATTAGGGGGAATCAAAGGGTAAAGTTGAACTCCAACTCATACCATACATCAACCAATTTCAGTGAATTCAACACATTTGTGAAAGGCAAAACCATAATAACTTTTAGAAGACAGTATACAATAGTAGCTTTCTGATGGCAGGGAAGAAACTAAGACACAAAAAGTAAAATGCATACAGGAAAGAACTAAAAAATTAAACTGCATTAAAATTAAGCACCTTGTTCATCCAAAGACACCATGGAAAAAGTGAACTGACAAGGATACAAATCAATAACCTTACTGAAAAACAGGAAAGACCAGAATAAGCATTTCACAGAGGAAGTGTCAATGGTCAAACACATGTTACAATACGCAATTGCATTGGTAACTAAGGCAACACACATTAAGTCCATAATGACATATCATTTTACACCAGATCAAAAACTTTGGGAAAACAAACTTTGAAGAACTCTGATAATATCAAATGTTAAAGAGAATATGGAACAAATGGAATCCTTGTCCTTGCCAAAAGGAGTATAAATAGATGCAACATTTTGGAAGACAATTTGGCATTATCTACTCAAAGTGGTGTGCATATACCTTTAACTTAATGCCACCCCTAGGTATACACCCAAGAAACTTTTTTTTTTTTTAATTTTTATTTTTTGCCGTACGCAGGCCTCTCACTGTTGTGGCCTCTCCCGTTGCCGAGCACAGGCTCCGGATGCGCAAGCTCAGAGACCATGACTCACGGGCCCAGCCGCTCCGCGGCATGTGGGATCTTCCCGGACCAGGCCACGAACCCGTGTCCCCTGCATCGGCAGGTGGACTCTCAACCACTGCGCCACCAGGGAAGCCCCCAAGAAACTTTTGTAGTATCTCTGCAACAAGAAACAAGGATAGCCACATTCTCTGTAATAGCAAAAACAGAGCAAAATAGGGGAATTCCCTGGTGGTCCAGTGGTTAGGACTCTGTGCTTTCACTGCCCTGGGCCCAGGTTCAATCCCTGATTGGGGAACTAAGATCCTGCAAGCCAGGAGGCATGGCCAAAAAAACCCAAAAGAACAAAAAACAAACAAACAAAAACACCAAGCAAAAACAAAACAAAACAACAACAAAAAAAGCAAAACAAACAAAAGAACCCCTCCCAAAATAGAGAAATAATGCAATGAGAATCAAGAGTAATTTATCTAATGAAATACTAAACAGTGAAAACAGAAGAAATATAACTGCACATAACAAAGACCAATTTCAAGAATATAATGATGAGCTAAAAGTCACAAAAGAATGCATACATTATAATTTCACATATATTCAGTTCAAAAACGTGGAATATGTTGTTTAGGAATACAAACTTGATGAAATTATGAAGAAAAGCAATGGTAAACAAAGAATTGGGAATATGAAAAAAGGATGGGGTAGGAGGGGAATATAGGAGATGTAACAAGTAGTAATGAAGTTCTTTTTCTTTTTTAATATTGATTGATAGATTGATTGGCCACACCACACAGCTTGTGGGATCTTAGTTCCCCACCAGGGATTGAATCCGGACCCTCGGCAGTGAGAACACGGAGTCCTAACCACTGACTGGACCACCTGGGAATTCCTAAAGTTCTTTTGCTTAAAATAGGTGGCCAGGTACAGGGATGTATCATGTATTCTGATTTTTTAGATGCTACGTTTCATACACAGGTTTTATCACCTCGATATTTGATTTTAAAAAGGGAAACCAAGTAACTTAAATATCACACATTTGGTCAATTCATCTACACCATGTCCTCTTCTAAGCCAGATGGGTGGCTGCTATCTTTGGCTCCTTGCTAGACTTAAAACGGACTTGTGGACAGACGGTATACAATAAAAGGGAAAATTTTCCTACTGGCCCTATAAGTAATAAACAAGGAGATAAAGACCAATTAAAACAAGAAAGGTAGATGTTTAATATAAAATATGATCCTTCTTTAAAAAAAACTGGGAAACAAAAATTTAAGTCATTCTTTATTCATATAGCACAGTATGAGAAGATACAAGAAACTTCAATGCCTAGCTTAGTCAAAGATGGCAAACCAAAAGGTAAAACGGAGGAAACTTAGCTTTAAAAAAAAACAGAACAGAACTTTATAATGAGAAATTTTACCATCAGTGAAAAGAAATAGACTGTTACCATACTAACAACCAGTTTAACACAGAATATCTAGTAAAAAACAGCTGTATTTACTGAAGGAAAAAGCAAGGGGATGACACCATTTCTGCTGAGAAATAAGAGACTACTGGATACTACCACTAAAAAATGAGGCCAATGAAAACAAGCAATTCAAATACCCAAATCACACAATTTCTAAAAACATTTATGACGTGTATAAAAATGCAAAAGAAGGGCTTCCCTGGTGGTGCAGTGGTTGAGAGTCCGCCTGCTGATGCAGGGGACACGGGTTTGTGCCCCGGTCCGGGAAGATCCCACGTGCCGCGGAGCGGCTGGGCCCGTGAGCCATGGCCGCTGAGCCTGCGCGTCCGGAGCCTGTGCTCCACAACGGGAGAGGCCACAACAGAGAGAGGCCCGCGCAGCGCGCAAAAAAAAAAAAAAAAAAAAAAAAGCAAAAGAATAGGATGACTTTTTAAATGAACTTACCCTGAAATAAGTGAAGTTACAGCTGTTGAATAAATGTCACTCAAAAGCAGTCTCTTGGCTTTTTCTTACACAGCGGGCAACTTTCCTTTTGAATTCTCCATTTCTGTCTTCCCTCCATTCTTTCTGTAAGTACAAAAGTAACAGCAACTGATTTTATGTAAACTCCTCTTACAATCTCAAATACTAACTTTAATTTTGAATGTAATGCTTTGGTAATGTGAATACTTTTAAAATGTTAAAAAGTTGACAAGGTAGAAAAGTAGTCAAGAAACACTTTTGCAAGGCACTCTGCTAAGATACATGCAAATGACCTCTACAGGCAAAAGTCTCTTTAAAAAAGGAAAAGGCCCTGAAGATCATTAGCAGTTTTGTATTATGCTAAAAAGAAAGCTACGACTTACAAATAAGATATCCAGGCTATCTGAAGGATCACCAACTCTCCCTACTGGGTAGCAACCAGAAAATAAAGTAGACATAACAGTGCCTCCAATATCAAGTATATGGGTGTAATGCATCATACTGAGGTGATACTGAGTACTATTTCTAGTGGGGGCGGGGGGATGAGGGGGTGGGACACATGACAGTGACAATATCACTATCACTGCCTGGCCCATAAAAATGGAACACAAAACAGCACCAGCATAGTTTCACAGGAGAATAGAGCTGATTTTACTTAGCATGTAAATACCAGGAAATTCTCACAAAAATGCCCAGCCCTTTTTTCCCCCTGCTATATCATCCATTTAGGGACAGCAAAGACTACAGAAATCTTCAATACTTGCCTGTGCAGAGGAAGAGATTTGAACAACAATTTTTGCCCTCAAAGCAAGGCACCCCAGAAAGCCAATCATTATAATAAATTATGAGATAAACTATAATGCTAACATCTACAGAGATCTGGAGATGTTTGATGAAATATTTATGGATAAAATGTTATTGTCTGTAATTACCTCATTACCATATTTAAGAAATTTTAAGGAGAAAGGGTCAATTCCAGAAAAGAAGGAAGGTCAATCTCAAGAAAAGAAAGAAAAAAAAATCATCTAAAAAGAGCACTTAGCAGAGAGAAGTAAGACTGAGAGCAGGGAGATGAGATAGAAAGCTATTACAATAATGTAGGTAAGAAGTTAAAAGGAATCAAATCAATGGCAGAGGGGTGGAAAGGAATTTAGATATATAATTTGACTGACATTCTCTGGTGACACACAAGACTGGGCAAGGATGACTTCTAGGTAGAAGATAGATTGGTAGATGATGGTTCAAAGCAGGAGCTAGCTAATAACAGAGTCGCCATTTGTTGAATCCACTATGCCACACACTGTGGATGACCAGATGGGTGGTGTTATCATCTGCATTTTACATGTGAAGAACCTACGGAATCAATAGACCAAAAAGCACATATGTTTATCTCTTAGCTCTCCTAAGATCCTATTAAAATGATCATACCGGAATTATTTTTTTAAGGTATAAATCCTCACTGTCAAAGAAAATGGCATTAAAATCATCTAATCACGGGGAGAAATTTCTTCTGGAAGACCAAAAGTAGATGGAAGAACAATGAAACGTACATTAGAGGAGAGAAAGTAATAGCCTACAGGAGTCTCAATGGAACCCCAGCAAAGGAGGGAAAAGGACCTATTGAACAGAACTCTGAAGTTAAAGTTTGGAAATGACAGCTCTGAGAAGTCAGTAAGAAGTGGGGGTGAGGTGCATGCCACAGCTAAAGAAGACCCAGTGCAGTCAAATAAATAAATAAATAAACATTTAAAAAAAAAAAAAAAAAAAAGATGTGGGGCTGAGGGACTTCCCTGGTGGTCCAGTGGTTAAGACTTCACGCTCTCAATGCAGGGGGCTCAGGTTAGATCCCTGGTCATGAAACTAGATCCTGCATGCTGCAACTAAGAGCCCGCATGCCACAACTAAAGATCCCGCATGCTGAAACTTAAGATCTCACATACCGCAACTAAGACCTGGAGCAGCCAAACAAATAAATAAATGAAGTGGGGCTGAAAAGAGATTGACAGAAAGTCTATATGACTCAATAGCTTGGCCCTTCCTCCTACCTACACCCAAAATTAATACCTTCCTAAAGTAATAACGATGATATATAGATTTTATATAAATATACTGAAGACCACTAGAATTAGAGCTGCTAGTGTGGGTATTGGTACTGAAAGTAATTACTTCTTCACTTTGGCATTTAAATGGTACCCCTCTTCCTCCAACTCACTTAGTTTATTTTTTTTTTCACTCTTAGTTTAACATCTGGCTTATTACTCACACACTCTTGAGTGAAACCAATTCTGCACACGTGCGCCCCTTATGTTGTTTGGACTGATACTTGACTTATTAGAAGTTAGAATGGTTTTCTGCCAGTGTTTACTTCAATTCAATTACTAAATTCAAAAATTCAAAGCCAGAGATTTGAAAGGGGGTTATTATATGTAGTGTTTTTCTACATGTAAGATTTCACCCAAGTTTTTATGTAGGTTTGAAATAACAAGGAAAAAAGGTGAATTTAATCTCCCAGCTTTCACATATACTAACAAAGTTTCCAAGAATAAGAATTAGAACAAAAGGATTGTTAAAGAAGGATAGACGGCTGAGGAACTAGGACTATTCTAGATTAAAGGAGATTAATAAAACATGAATACAGGACTTCTGTGGCGGTCCAGTGGTTAAGACTGCACGCTTCCACTGCAGGGGGCATGGGTTTGATCCCTGGTCAGGGAACTAAGATCCCACATGCCGTGGAGTGCAGTGCAGCCAAAAAAAATTAACAAATAAATAAAATAATTTTTAAAAAAAAGAAAAGGAGAAGGAAGAGAAGACCAAAAAAAAGAAAATAAAAACAATAATGTAAAAATGAGAAACCTACAGTAAAATGGTAAGAAATACCAACCTTTACAAAATAAAAAATAAATAAATAAGTAAAAAATAAAACGAATACAAAATGTAACGTGAGGACTTCCCTGGTGACGCACTGGTTAAGAAACCACCTGCCAATGCAGGGGACATGGGTTCAAGCCCTGGTTCAGGAGATCCCACATGCCGTAGAGCAACTAAGCCCATGTGCCACAACTACTGACGCCCACACGCCTAGAGCCTGTGCTCCTCAACAAGAGATGCCACCACAATGAGAAGCCCGAGCACTACAATGAAGAACAGCCCCCACTCAACACAACTAGAGAAAGCCCTCATGGAGCAACGAAGACCCAACACAGCCAAAATTAATTAATTTTTCAAAAGCAATGTGGGTTCCTAAAATTCTGGATTCTGCCGCCCCACCCATTTCGTTCTTAGGAGATACACGCTGAAGTATTTAAGTATATACTTAAACATAAAGATCTGTAAAGTATTCTCAGTTTAGCAAATAATAATAATGATAATAACAACGTTGTAAAATGTCCACATTTGTGAACCTGTATGTGTAGGGTATAGGGGTGTTTAAGGGTGTTTATAACTAATGCAACATTTTGTAGGTCTGAAAGTTTTAAAAATAAAAGCTTGGGAATAATAATATGGACCTACTAGGGACCTGATAATAAGTTCTCATAGGTATGACAGCTGTTTTATAGTTATATAGGATAGTGTCCTTATTCCTTTTTTTTTTTTAATTTATTTTTTTGGGGGGTGCTGCGTTGGGTCTTTGTTGCTGCTCGCAGGCTTTCTCTAGTTGCGACGAGCACGGGCTACTCTTCATTGTGGTGCGCGGGCTTCTCACTGAGGTGGCTTCTCTTGTTGTGGAGCACGGGCTCTAGGCGCGCAGGCTTCAGTAGTTGTGGCTCGTGGGCTGTAGAGCACAGGCCCAGTGGTTGTGGCACATGGGCTTAGCTGGTCCACAGCATGTAGGATCTTCCTGGACCAGGGATCGAACCCATGTCCCCTGCATTGGCAGGAGGATTCTTAACCACTGCACCAACAGGGAATCCCCTAGTGTCCTTATTCTTAAAAGATGCAGGTACAAATATTTAGGGGTAAAGCTTAGTTACGTCTTACTTATCTTTGTACAGATTCATGAAAAAATTAAATGAATAAAAACATATATCATACACATCCACACATATATACTTATAAAGTTACTATAGTTCTAATCAAGTTTAATTAAACGGGAGGGGAGATGTGTGCATGTGACCACCTTACCGCAGCGTCAACATTAGCAGGTGAGTCTCCATTAGGGTCTGCCAGCATAGAAATGACACTAATCATGATGGTTTCCACGGTGTGAATAGGCAGCCAGCGTTCCTCGGGCTTTTCATAACCATATTTATCTTCCCCGGGCTCATGAAGAATAGAAATGCATACATCACCATTTTTATCAACTGCAAAATTAAAGAATAAGATTACTGTTTTAAATATTTAAAATAATTTGGCTATACATAAAATACATATTATAATAAACATGGTCCCAATTCCCACGGCATCTGTATAAAATTCAATACCACTGTACCACTGAAAAGATACAGAAGTTAATTTCCAAAATGGAACCTGTTAACCTTTTAGGAAGACCGAAGATTTTACCAAGTAGGATCCACCTGACAAACCCAAAAGGAATGTAAGCTACCTTTTTCATTTGTGCAAAATTTCAAGACACATAGTATGTAGATGGTGCCTAGCATTTACATGTAATAAATACAATGAAATGAAGAAATGGCATCTGTTGAATCTGTTCTTCATTTGCAGAAAGTATATGGTCTAAACACCAGAATTGAGTTTCTGGATAATGAATTCCTAGTTTCCCCACTAACTTATTGATTGAAATTGTTAATAGTCAAAGGTCTAGAGACTTTCCTAAGAAAAAAATAAAAGGTAACATGATAATATACTTTTAAAATCACATAAAGGCAAAATTATATTTTCAGGGAAAAAGTATACTCAAATCCACAAAAGGAACATGTTATATTGCTAGTGAAAATTCATCAACGTAAGTGATATTCATTAGGCCCCTAATCTATAAAACGGTTTTAAAATCCAAGCCACAAATTAATTGTTGATCAAAAGGGGTAGAGGAGTCCTAATCCACATTTACATCACACAAATATTTCCTATTAGGGAACTATCAAAATCATAACATTCATTAATCTTCTACAGTGAAATTTTCCCTATTGCAAAAAGCATACTTATTGGAGAAATGTTAGAAAAGACAGAAAAGTATAAAATTTTGGTGAAAAACTTTTTAACCAAATTTCCAAATCCTATAAACAACCAATGACACTATTTATGTATATTTCATCCCTGACTTCCTACCTAAAGTCCAACAAATTTATGATAGGTATAATGTTAAAGCCTACTTTTCACCTCCTAACTCAAGCACTCCCCTGCTATTATTAACTCTGGGTAACCAGAGTCAAAGTTCGTGTGCACTGTGGCTCTACGATAAATGCTTCTTGAACGCGTGCCGTGTGCCAGGCACCCACCACCTGACATGGAGTTCAACAGTGAATGCAACATTCAAGACTCATGCCTTCAATGTCTTGTATATGAGCTGTTCTGCAATTAAGGTTCCTTTTCCCAACTCACCTACACCTCCTAGTAAAATCTCTTAACTAAAATGAAATAACTAACTAGATCAAGAATAACAACAGCAAAACTTGTGACAGCACTATAAAGTTGAACAGAAAATGCTTACACAGTATTAAGATATTTTCCTCACTTACACTTAAAATTTTTTCTTTGGAAGTCATTTTCTTTGAGAACATTTAACATCAAATGTTTGTACAGAATTCTATCAGAGAGAATCTATTTGAGACCCATTTTCCTTTTATAAAAATTATCGTAATTTAGCACCTTTAAAATTTTTTAACCTTGTGTCATTTCATTTTAAACATACAGTTTAGTTTCTTAGAAAGAGGTTTTTACGCTTAATGCCTATTACCAAATTACACTTTAAAAATGCAAGATATGAGCTGATAATTCTGAGTGACAAGGCAATAAAACTAAGATTTTTCTTTATTGAAAAAATTTTTAATTTCACAACTGAAATCTAGTTTAAAATACTTTTAGGGGCTAAATTTTTCCATGTACAGAAACTTTATGTATTTCCTCTTTAGTCAAACGTCTGTTCATGTCCTTTACCGATTTATGTACTCAATGTTTAGTTTTCTTCTTGCCAAACTGCTTCTTAATTTTCCTTGTTTAATTTTTGCCTGTTATTTTTTTTCTTTCATTTCAATACCCCAGTAATGTTTTTTAATGGCTGGCCTTATTATCTGACACAAGATTCATTTAAGAATCCCATACTGAATTTAGTTACCATTTCTCTTTCCTCTTTATAGTCTTCCAATATTTATTGCTTTTGAAACTAGAAACCCCTTGTTCCTAACACCCAGAAAATAATATTCACTATTTTTAAAAACCACTTGAAACTTTTTATTCCATTTAGAGTTTTAATTCACTTTGCTGTTTGGTGTGAAGAAAATTTCTAAATCCATTTCCCCATAAGTAGCTAGCCAACAGTCTCAGCATCAATGACTGAGAAGAAAACACAGCTCTTCTTCCATCTTGAAACTAAACTACCTGAACCATGCATACCCTTCAAGCTATCTCCCTTCTCTTGAAGCTGTGCTCTAAAATTAGGAAAATCTGATTTCCCCTCGTCTTCTCTATTTACACTTGGGTACTTTCTTTTTTGCCTTATGGGAAACTGTCTTCTGCTTCCAAACAGGATGCTATGACTATTCTCACAAAGTGACTGGGAGAACATATTCTCCTGGGTATTTTTGAAGTCAACCCTTCTGGGCCCAAAACAACTGATACCGTTGAGGACACCTTCCTGGACACATTTTCCTCTCTTACTTCCGTGGCACACTTCCTTTCCCTGGTTCTTGAAGCCATTCTCTCAATCACTTTCTTCTTTTCCTTTTCCTTGGTCTGACTTTTGATGTTATCCTAATCTCCAAAATTAATCCTCTTTTCCCTAAGTAAATTAAACCATTCATTATATCACAGTGTTACCCACCATCTCCCCCCCCCGCCAGCTTTATTAAGATATAATTGACAGAAAACGTTGTGTAAGTTTAAGGTATACCACATGATGATTTGATATCGTTACCTGTCATCTTGATGTCAGTAGCTTCCAAGGCCCTAAGCTCACTGCTGAGCCTTGACTAGTTTTCTTTAATTACCTAAGTGGTTATGGCAACTGCACCTCCAGAAAAACAAGCCTCAAATTGAGTGCATCTAAGTCATACAAATGACTTATATGACTTTACCATATAATAATTTTTAATAAAACAGCTTTTGAGATATAATTCATGCATTTGAAGTATACAATTTAATGGTTTCTAGTATGTTTAGAGTTGTATAACCATCACCACGATCAATTTTACAATATATTCACCACCACAGAAAGAAATGCCGTACCCATTAGCAATTGATAAAATCCTCTATCTCCTAGCTATTTTGTCTGGTTTTCCCTTCCAAACCTTCCCCCGTGAGTATAAACTTTCTAGACATAAATATAGTCATGATGAACCTACTATACAGCTTTAAAACTATTGAGTCCCCATGACTAAAGATACATATTCAAAATTCTATTTAAGAATCATATTCTCCATCATTCCCTGACTCCCTCTTCTATGCTACCAAACACCTTTATAACAACATCACTGTTGTCTCTGTTTCACCATTAAATTTATGTCCGTCTTTCCCTTACACATACCATAATATCCTTACAGAAAGACCATAACTCGATCATCTTTGTATCTCCAGCACCTAGCAGAAATTCAAATGCTGGTTTTTCCCCTCATTCCCACTGCAGACCACTCTCACTCCCCTTTCTAAGTCTAGCTCCTTCTGAACCTGCCATCCCTGGCCCATTGCCTCCTCGGGTATCCTTTCTTCACAAAGCATCCCTTCACTCAAATCACATCTTAATTACTTTACTCTCTAATGCCTTCTCCCTTATGGTCTGCAAACCAACAATCCCTTCAACCTTAAAAAACAAAGAAAATAAACACTCATTTCAGTTGCCCTCTTAAACTACGGAGGCCACTGCTATTGTTCCTCTTAACAGAGGTTCCATGTACTGCTTACATATATTCTCTCATGTAACTCTCACAGATAGAGAAACTAAGGTTCAAGAGGCTTTTACCTACAGTAATATAGCTAATTTGTGGTAGAGACAACATTCAGAAACTTCGTTACATTTTCCTTTGAAATAGGTGGAAAAAGATTGACTTACACATCAAATAATTCAAGAGAAGGCAGGAGAAACTGCCAAAAGGCTAGGAAGAAATGAAAGAAACGTCCAAGGCAGATGTGGTCAATTCGTGCCTCCATATATCTTGTAGGATTATCGCTAATGTGTTCTACCAGAAAGAAATTATTTTTCTCCCTTCTTCCTGGTGCAAAAATTAACTATGTCTTTTGTCATCACTGCTATCTTAGATGTGATGAAATATGGCGGCTTCCTTGGTTCCCAATAGTTTTCCATTTGCCAGTCTAGTCTCTCCTAAGTAAGACTCCTATGTTTTTCAAGTCACTGGGTGCTATTACACTTCCTTGAAACAAAGCCTTGGTTTATTCATGCATCTGTTACCCTCACTGATTTTTGCTTAAACTAATATATAAGGGTTTCTCTTCCTTGCAACTGAAAGTCTGGACTATGAGAAGTAGAATGAAGATCAGTGTAATTGTCTAAAAAGACAACTTTGATGACAAAATACTGATAGTCAAAATACTTAGGAAAGAAATTCTTGCAAGCTCTATCATACAAAACAAGGCCAAAAGTTCAGGGAGACTGTGTATACACATAGTTTATCTGGCCTAACCTTTGGCTCACAAAGTGAATTTTAAATGGTAGTACATCTTTGGGTAAAAAAGTCAATGTCACCATTTTATGCACTGCAGTACTGGATACTTTTGAAGGTTTAAACACACAGTATTGTATCTCATTTGATCCTATCAATCACCTTATGATGTAGGTAAGACATTCCTTTTTGACAGCTAAGAACATACATTAAAAGTTAAGCGTTGTCCATAGTCTAGGAGCTAAGATGAGAAAATAGAAATTAAAAATCCAGGTTTAATTACTTCTAAGCTCTTTGTAATAGCCAATGAGTCACCTAATACCTTGGAAATTATCTCCTCAATTATAAGAGCTCTATTAATGTTGAATATCACCCACCAACCCTGCCTCCAGTTAGGAACATCATGAGTCTCAAAACGAGCTGAAAACTAAGTAAGTAAATAAATAAATAAATGAAGATTTTTTTCCCCATGTGATCTCTGTCAATTCTTCTCTTCTAAGGAATCTAAATCCAAGCCCATGTGCATAACAAACACAACAAACTTAGTACAAAAATTCCAACGCAATTTCATTGAGAACTACATCTTCCTTATTGACCTTGAAAACTTCAGGGACAGGCCATCATACTTGCAAATGTAAAAGTAAAACTAGATAAACTTACCATTTGGGTGCCAGATTTCTGTAATGAATTTCATTTTAGGAGGCCGAAGGGGATAATCTTTTGGGAAAGTGAGATGAGCCTTAAAAACACCACCTTCACTGGAAATACAAAAACAAAAACAAGTTCTTGCCTATAAGTTCCTGCTTATAAATAAGAAAATTATTAAAACAAACATAAAACAAGATGCTAGTGCTAACATTATAAACAAAATAAATAATCTGGATTTCAAGCAGTTTACTTTACTCAAATATCCAGTTTAATAAACTGTCATACCTACCACCTTATTAAACTCTCAAAAAACAGTAAAATGAAAGAAACAGCTTTAAAAAAAGGCATCCAGATCAGATTACACGACTGCTGTGCTACAAACCTTTTAATCTCTTCCCACTGCACTTAAAACAAAATTTAAAAGTTAAGTTTAACATTGCCTATCAGGGTCAAGTTGCCAATTTCTCTACGTTGATCTCAATCTTCCACTCTTCTCTCTAGTTCCAGCCAGTCTTCTTTCTGTTCTTCAAACACAACAAGCTTTTTCTCATCTGAGAGCTTATGTATTTTCTTATTCCCTCTCTGGGAACAGTTGTGCTGACCTTCAATCCATCCATCCATTTATTCATCTTATCATTTAACAAATATTTATTCAGTCTTTACGTGTCAGACACTGGGAGTACAGCAGTGAACAAAGCATAAAGTCTCTCAAGGAGTTTATAATTGGTGACTTTCCAAAGTAGGGCTGTGCAACAGAACTTTCACACACTAGAGGTGGTTTATAGTTATGCTGGCCAATATGTTAGCCACCAACCACTTGTATCAATAATATGGCGAGGGCTTCCCTGGTGGCGCAGTGGTTGAGAGTCCGCCTGCCAGTGCAGGGGACACGGGTTCGTGCCCCAGTCTGGGAAGATCCCACATGTCGCGGAGCGGCTGGGCCCGTGAGCCATGGCCGCTGAGCCTGCGCGTCCGGAGCCTGTGCTCTGCAACGGGAGAGGTCACAACAGTGAGAGGCCCACGTACCACACACACACAAAAAAATATATATATATATATGGCTAGTACAACTGAGGAACGGAATTTTTAATCTTGTTTAATTCTAATAGGCACATGTGGCTGTGACTGTTGTGTTAAGGCACTGCAGAGCACTGTCATTTGCTTAGGAACTGTTCCTGAACAACTGTCAAAACAACGTAAGTCATTGTTAAAGAAAACCAATGAAAAAAAGTCAGCCTTATGGGGCAAAAACGACAAAGCCCCTGACTTGTGTCCTTGGTACTAGCTGTTTCCTCTGTTTGAAACACTGTTCTCCCTTTGTCATATTCAGAACTCAGCTTAAATGTTACCTCTTGAGAATGATTTTACTTGACTACCCAATCTTAACTAGCCACTGTGTCCCTCTATCACATGGACCTCTTTTCATTTCTTTATTGCAAAAGCAATTCACACCTCTGATTCTCTTATTGTAAGATGTACACCCCATCAGAGCAGGGTCATCTGACTGTGTTTGTTTCAGATCATCGAGAAATGGAATCCTCAGCTCATTAAATGGTTTTCATTCATTAAACAAATAGATAATGATTATCTACCTATGGGAGGCACTGTTGTATGTAAAAGAATACAACAGGGACCAAAACATTAGAGATCACTGATTTATGGCACTTACCATTCTAGAGTCAGAGGAAAGTATCAAGAAAAATACCGGTAATAAATACTGGAATGATATGAGCAATCTATTGTTAAAATTTTTTTTTAATCTATAGAATAAGCCCATTTGCCTTTACAAAGAAAAAGTGAGGGTATGTTTATATACAAATAGAAAAATGTCTGGAAACATGACACCAATATATAATAATAATGGTTAATTAACTCTGAAGCACAAGATTATGAGATTTTTTTACTTTCTGCTTTGTACATTTTGATATACCATGAATTTTTAACCACAAGCAAGTATTAATTCTTATTGCCTTTTTCTAATCATAAAAGCAAGATGAGGGGAGTTAAACAAAGAAAGGTAGATCATTAACACCAAACACTTCTGAATACTTAGGAAAGGCCACTAGATTCCGAGTATAAAAAGTAACCTCGACTTTAAAAACCTCGAAACAGAGTAACTGAGAAATTAGAAGAAAGAAAATAAGGGTAGTAAAGGGCTTACCACGAAAAAGAAAGAATATCCTTTCCTTTTGCACAGGAAGAAAACAGACTGAATGTAGTACAGATATCCAGGGGTAAAAAGGAAGAAAGCTGACACATTTTATGCCTGCCTTATGGTCTTAATTTTCATAATTTATGAGACTATCTATTGAAGGGAAAAAACATGAAGACTTGAGGGAATGGAGACTAGAACAGCAGTTGTAAAGAGCGCATTACACTGTTAAGAGATAAGTCTACCTTCTCGGACTATGTTACCCCAACTGGATAAATTAGTGCCAAAACTGGCCTTAGGAAATATTAATTCTATGAACTAGTTTTTCAAACTGGGGCTGCAAAGCTAAGTAAGTGAGTCACTAACGAGTTTTCTTTATAAACAAATAAAAATAGAATAAAAAGGGCTTCCCTGGTGGCGCAGTGGTTGAGAGTCCGCCTGCTGATGCAGGGGACAAGGGTTCGTGCCCTGTTCCGGGAAGATCCCACATGCCGCAGAGCGGCTGGGCCCGTGAGCCATGGCCGCTGAGCCTATGCATCCGGAGCCTGTGCTCCGCAATGGGAGAGGCCGCAACAGTGAGAGGCCCGCGTACCGCAAAAAACAAAAACAAAAAGAAAAACAAAAACACTTTGAAAGCCACAAATACAGAAAACAGCCAAGAATCTATGTAAAACAACATCAAAACAGCTACCACAAAGCCCATGTACTTTATCCCACTGGTAAGACTATTCCCTGATACTAAGTTAGCTTTCCTGGGTCCCTGAGTTCTAACTGATATCAGATCTACTTAAAAGCTTTATATTAGGGGCTTCCCTGGTGGCGCAGTGGTTAAGAATCCACCTGCCAATGCAGGGGACATGGGTTCGAGCCCTGGTCCGGGAAGATCCCACATGCAGAACAACTAAGCCTGTGAGCCACAACTACTGAGCCCACACACCACAACTACTGAAGCCTGCGTTCCTAGAACCCGTGCTCCACAAGAGAAGCCACTGCAATGAGAAGCCCGCACACCACAACGAAGAGTAGCCTCCACTCACTGCAACTAGAGAAAGCCTGCGCAACAAAGACCTAACACAGCCAAAAATAAATAAGTAAAATAAATTTTTTTTAAAAAAAAGCTTTATATTAGCTGATTGGAATCCCTATCATGAAAAATTGCCTTAGTCTATTGAATTATTTTCAATCTTTAAATTTTAATAGGACTATCCTTAAAAGTTTAAAGTACACAATTTTAACTCTGTCTGCAATGTCCTCACCCATTCTAAACTAATCATGCAGTTCCTTACAGTTTTTCTCCTACAGGTGGAATCTTTAACTTCTCTAATACCTGTGAAAATCCTACTTGTTATTTTTAAAAGCCTAGTTCAGTAGTCCCAACTTGTGGGCACAAACTTCTAGTGAACAGTGAACGGCCAAGTTAGCAAAAAACTCAGAACACTCAAAGAGTACAAAACATAGTAAACTAAATATTAAAATGTCACATATTCACTATTTTTCAAATATATAAAGATCTACTATGATGAACAAAATGGCAGTTTATGAAAAGCATCAATGAATTAAAAATACCTTCCCTCCCATTATACATTCTCTTCACAGGTATTAATAGTATAATTACTAGCATGATGTTAAAAAGAGGTATGAAACCAATAGTTTCACATTTGAAAAGGTTGAGAAATCTAGGCCTAGTTCAAGTTTCTTCTATTAGACTTCCCTGTTTTTGTATTAAAATTATAAAAATCTTACAAGTATCAGATCCTATCATTCTACTTTGTCAGATCCTATCATTCTGCCATATTTACTTATTTAAATGATATACCATGTGCTGCCATCTGAAATTTTGCTCAACACTGTTCTTTTATATATTCCTGATAATATCTGTCTCCTGTTTATTCATTTTTACCTGCCACAATTTTTCTATTACAATCAAAATGTTTGCTTCCGATTTCTTTTGCTATTACCAACAACAGAATGTTGAACATTCTGAACTCTTTCTAGGCATTGGGTTTTACCCTAGAAATGAAACAAGACAAAGTTTAAATAACTGTTTAAAGTCACACAGATAACAGTGATAGCCTCAGGGAGCTAAACAAAGACAGTCTCCAAAACTCACGTTCTTAAGCACTAAATGATAAGTGGCACGGCACTGCCATTGATCAATCAATTTCTAAGCCATGCAGGCAGGTTCATTCCCTCCAAAATTTCATTACAGAATATATGGCTTGCGCCTCTAAGTTTTAAACAGAACTGTGGAAGAATTTTGTTAGTGTAAAAGAATATTAATCAGAGAGTTTAGTTAGCCACCTCTTCATTTTCTATACCCACTCAAGATAAGGCAATAATACTACAAAATACATATAATCTTAAGATTCTCCAAATTCTTCACATCATTGGCAGAGGTAGGAAACAAAATTAAGCATACTTCTTGAGCACACTAGCCATTAGTGATGAAAAAAAGAATAAGAGATACAGGAAAGGTACACATTCACCATTCCCTCATACAAATTTATAAGATTTATGATTACATGGTGCTACCCATGTCTCCTAAAGTTTCTGTAAAAACCTACTGCCATCCTACCTGACATTTTTCTTGCCGAGGATATGGGCAGCTAGCCACACTACTTGATAATCATTAGTCTGAAAATAGCAGGCATGTCACACCAGTTTCAGAATGTTTTTCGTAGAGAAAGCCTCAAGACGGGGCTTCGCTGGTGGTACAGCAGTTAGGAATCTGCCTGCCAATGCAGGGGACACGGGTGCAAGCCCTGGTCCGAGAAGATCCCACATGCCACAAAGCAACTAAGCCCGTGCACCACAACTATTGAGCCTGTGCTCTAGAGCCCACGAGCCACAATTACTGAGCCCGTGTGCCACAACTACTGAAGCTGGCGCGCCAAGAGCCCATGCTCCAAAACAAGAGAAGCCACCACAATGAGAAGTCCGTGCACCGCAAGGAAGAGTAGCCCCCGCTCGCTGCAACTAGAGAAAGCCAGCATGCAGCAACGAAGACCCAATGCAGCCAAAAATAAATAAATAATTTTATTTTTTTTTTAAATTCCTTATTTTCTAAGCCAGCTAAAATCCAATTTCTGTTGCTTGAAGCCAAAAGCCTACTAACTATTACAGTTACTAACTCTTCAGTTCCCACTTTAGACATCTCTTCCTCTGGGAAAAATTCCCTGACACAGTCATAACCTGCCATGCTACCAACGAGTTCTCACAACACCTAATGCCTCCCTCCATCATGGCTGTCCTCAAGGTGTATTAAATAACTATGCAATGAGCTGTCTTGCCAACTAAACTGTAACCTCTTTGGGAGCAGTGACTATTAGCTAATTCAAGATCATGTTCCTAGCATCTAGCATAAGAGTACTGAAAAAACTTTTGGAAACTAAATCAATGAGTAATGTAAATGCCAGTACACTGCTTTATTTTTGCAACCATTCTAAGTAGGAAGTTGCTAAAAGGGACGGCCTAAACTCAATAAATCATAAACCTCTTTTTTGAGGGCTTTAAAAACAATTTTATAACTATCAGCACATGAATTTTAGAAAAGGTCATTAATAAAAAGCAATCATACCAAAGTAATTTTGGATGATTATTATAAGGTCTGTCAATTGCATTAAGGCTTCATTACTCACAGGATGTTCAAAGTACGTGTGGCACTGAGGTTAAACTGCAGCCCAGGTGCAGCCAGTGCTCTCATCAGAAGGGACAGTGCAGAAGTGGCAGCCAGTTGTCTCGTCAGCAACTCCAGAGGAGCTGCCACAAATGCTTCTGCTGTCCACACCTCAGATCAACAGCCAGCAGTTTTTAAATGTATACGAAAGGCCAGAAATAGATTTTTATTGGCGGCAAGAATGGCCTAATTAGTGCAATGAGTATTAAAGTATCTCTCTTTGGTAAAGCTGAAGGGACACAACATATATATGGACCAGCTGATAATATTTAGAGATGCTTGCCACCATCACACGAAAAAAGTGTACGAATTTTGCAAGGTCCTTAGAGATCGAGGTCAAACCTGGATGCCTAGTTAATCTTCTACACAGACATTAGTTTAGAAGAATTTCTCTTGTTATCACATATCAACTTTAAGATTAACAAGATTCTGTCACTGGAATGTTGCTGTATCTCCCTTGAGTAAACCTTCACACAATATGTTTTGATTTAAAAACCTAGACGACCAGAACCTCATCAGGCTCATAGGCCAGGCTGTATGTATGATTTTTGTGTGCAAAATTTGGTAAGAAATTTGCTTTCAAATAAATAATATTAAGGTTATGGAGGAATACCTCTAGGATGGCTTTCATTGGCTACTGTTATTTACCAAACTAACATTGTAGAATGACTAAATTGAGTTATTTTAGTTTGCAACAATTACCAATGCAGAGACTTCCCTGGTGGCACAGTGGATAAGACTCCGAGCTCCCAATGCAGGGGGCCCGGGTTCAATCCTGGTCAGGGAACTGGATCCCACATGCATGCCACAACTAAGAGTTCATATGTCACAACTAATGAGCCTGCGAGCCGCAACTAAGACCTGGTGCAACCAAATAAACAAATAAGTATTTTTAAATAAATAAATAAAAATAATACCATTAAAAAAACAATTACCAATGCAAACATACCGCTGGGAGATCAGCAAAAATTCTGATTGGGAACAGTTGTGACAAAACATAAATCATTTTTTTCAGACCTCAGAAAACCCCCAAATCAATACTACAGCTCAACTCTGTATGTCATATACCAGTTTGCTCTGGTATAGAACTAGCTCTGAATTTTCTCTTACATCAGGTGTTGGCGAAGGGGAGACAAAGGAGTTACCATCTCAGAACATCTAAAATAAAACTATTCCACCATCAAAAAAATGTTTGATGTATCCAAATCCTTGCTGCTTAGTACCATCAAGGACCACAGTTGAGTGACCAAGTATACTCCCCAAGAAGGTCCCTGCTGTCCTTCAGTTGTATTTCTTTGAGAAGGTTGCTGCATTTTTTTTTCAATACCTCAACTTCTATAAAAAGTGTGAGGGCTTCCCTGGTGGTGCAGTGGTTGAGAGTCCGCCTGCCGATGCAGGGGACACGGGTTCGTGCCCTGGTCCGGGAGGATCCCACATGCCGCGGAGCGGCTGGGCCCATGAGCCATGGCCACTGAGCCTGTGCGTCTGGAGCCTGTGCTCCGCAACGGGAGAGGCCACAACAGTGAGAGGCCAGCGTACCGCAAAAAAAAAAAAAAAAAAAGTGTGAGACTTGTACTAGTCACTAACATCAGATAGTCAAGATCCATCTTACAGAACATTAAATATTAGTAAGTTTAAGTTGGTCTGCAAACACACAGAACATCAGACTGTGGTCTTTGAATCTAAAAATGTATTACATAACGTATTTAAGAAATTCCATCTTTTTCTGTTGCTCTTTGATTACACCACATTCTGTTGTGTATCTTTACATCAATTAATAGTGATTAATTAAAACTGATTAACTTTATCACTTTTATAAACTGGGAAACTTCAGTTTGTCAAAATAGTTTATATTTCAATTCCTAAAAGAGCTCCACTTGGATGTTAGTTCCATTATACTTACTAAAGTGTATCTGGAGGACCAATAATAAGGACTTCCCATCGGTAGAGATCATTGTCATCTATTAAACCTGCTGAAAAGCCTTCCACTGGGTTTTTGTTGAGTTCTGTGGAAAAAGAAAATGTTTATCAAAAATTTTAAGTAAATAATCTTCGCCCACCATTCATTACAGAACTCGAATATACATGTTATAAATTCTAACCTGTTAAATGAACGCACCTGGATCCATTAGCAAAATGCTACCTGATGTCCAAAACATTTCCATTTCTATAACACAAAGAAGCAATGGGTAAAGCAAAGTATCCAGAAAATCAACTTCTACTGTGCCCTTTTACTTCTACCCTGGTTTCCAGCTAGGTTCTCACCATTCTAGTAGCTCCCTAGTGGTATATAGGTATAGCCATACAGAGAGCTTATTAAAATGCAGGTATCAGGACTTCCCTGGTGGTCCAGTGGTTAAGACTCCACACTCCCAATGCAGAGGGCCCGGGTTTGATCCCTGGTCAGGGAACTAGATCCCACATGTCACAACTAAGACCCAGAACAGCCAAATAAATAAATAAACATTTTTTTAAATAAAAAATAAAATAAATAAAATAAAATGCAGGTGTCAGGCCCATCCCCTAGAGATTCTGGTTCAGAGGGAAATCAAACCAATATTTCTGGTAATTCTTATGCTGTGGTCTTTAGGATACATATTCAGAAACACCAAGAGTGCCTGATACCTTTTCATTGGAATTTGCTGCTTAAGCAACCTTCATTTATACTAATAACTATATGTCTACCTGAGTAAGTCCTCTGTATTCTTGGGGATATACAACTACAGTTGGCGTTCATGTGCGGCCCATCAGACTCTGAGCACAGAGACAGCAGAGGCTCCATCCATCCTGCCTATGTGTGTTGACCCCCTTGCTGACCAGAGTTTCCAGCACCCAGGAGTAGCTTAAGAATAATAGCTGGATAGCCAGGAGATGGAAGCAACCTAAGTGTCCATCATCGGATGAATGGATAAAGAAGATGTGGCACATATATACAATGGAATATTGCTCAGCCATAAAAAGAAACGAAATTGAGTTATTTGTAGTGAGGTGGATGGACCTAGAGTCTGTCATACACAGTGAAGTAAGTCAGAAAGAGAAAGACAAATACCGTATGCTAACACATATATATGGAATCTAAGGGGAAAAAATGTCATGAAGAGCCTAGGGGTAAGAGGGGAATAAAGACACAGACCTACTAGAGAATGGGCTTGAGGATATGGGGAGGGGGAAGGGTAAGCTGTGACAAAGTGAGAGAGTGGCATGGACATATATACACTACCAAACGTAAAACAGATAGCTAGTGGGAAGCAGCCGCATAGCACAGGGAGATCAGCTCGGTGCTTTGTGACCACCTAGAGGGGTGGGATAGGGAAGGTGGGAGGGAGGGAGACGCAAGAGGGAAGAGATATGGGAACATATGTACATGTATAACTGATTCACTTTGTTATAAAGCAGAAACTAACACACTATTGTAAAGCAATTATACTCCAATAAAGATGTAAAAAAAATATATGCACGAAAAAAAAGAATAATAGCTGGAGCCTACAGGAACAGCAGTAGCAACATGAGATTTTCCTCTTCCGGAGAGAGTGCTCTAGCATGGATGGGGAATGACGGGGGCTGGGGACGAGAACAGAGGCAAAGAACTAGTGAGGTGGCGGGGAAACAGGCCATGAGGGCACCTTAGAGGAGACAGGTAAGAAACAGTTCCTAGAGACACAGAGCTTAATAAAGTAATGACCAATCCATGGTGAGCGTCATGTCAGGATTTTTTAAACAGCTTTAATGAGATATAATTGACATTCGGTAAGTTGCGCATATTTAAATTACATTATTTTTTTTACATATTGATATATGTATACAGCTGTGAAGCCATCACCACAGTCACGATTGTGTGTGCGTACAAATATATGAATCACCAGCAAGCGGCACTGGTTGGCTCAAATTGAGAAGTGGGACAAAGCACACAGGAGAGCGATTGAGAGAGGGCTTGCTGGGAGGCTGAACAGGTTTGTAATTCTCATATAATTCCTGCCATCATCCTCAAGGAGCTCAGTCTCATGATAAGTAAGTATAATACAACTCAGAGTGCTATAAAGACTGAACAAAGTGTGTTAGTAACTGAGAAGAAAATATTAATTTTTTGAGGAATCAGAGGTGGTTATTTCAACAGATTTAACACTCCAACATGCCAGTGAAACACAGAGAGAGCCAAAAGTGAAAGTTTATTTAAACGTGAATGGCTTCTTTTCTCAAAATGTGAGGGGAGATTTTTTTTTTAATTTATAAGTCTAGTATTTTTGCCTAACTGGCAAAACAGATTTTTATAAATAGTTTTAAATCAGTACTGTGTTTTGAAACACAAGAAATGCATTTTTACTTTTAAACAGCTATTCTAAGACATTTTAAAAATACTGAAAATGCAAAGAAATAGTATTTCAATCTTGTTATTTTGTTTATCAATGCAAACATTTACTGAGTGCCAATATGCTGCAGACATACTGGGAAAGATCTGAAAGTCCCACTTTTACTGTCAACTGAGGGACAGAGTGGAGCATAGACAATTACAATCTGGGCAGGTAAATTCTGCACTGAGTTATCTCATTTCTAACCTTTCTCTAGACAAACACTGGTATATTACTTAGACCATTTTCTCCAACACTATATGCAAGAGTCTTATGGAAGATTCTATAATTTATCTAGAAATCACCTAATGGTTGCATTTTACATCAGAAGTTCAGTGGAATTTTATAAATGTAGGTGGGTAAATTCTTAAATTAGCATACATGGTCAAAATTACCCTTGAAAACGTCCTTACACTTTCCATAAAGTAAATTATTCCTTCTCACTTTTGTCAATACACCGTAAGTTCTTTAAAAATCTTTTGCACATTCTTTCCACGCTTTTCTTCTACAGGAGTGATTGTGTCCATTCCTTGTTTCATTAAGTAATGCAAAAGTAATGCTGCAAGATGTCCATCTATCTCAGTTTTGTCATGGCTTTTGCCCATAGCGTGGATCCTCATAGCCTAGATCCATGGGTATTTAACAGGCTTAATCTACCTATTAGTGGCAGATCGTTACCTACCTTCATGATTCCTTCAAGGTCCAATTCCTCCATGGGGCCTTCCCTAAATAACTTACCAAATAATCTTCTTTTGACTTCTGCTAAATTCCTATTAATCATACTTTTAGTCTGTACTGCATCACCCGGCACTTAACTATCAGCTCCTGATTCCCACAGAAGTAAACAGGCAATTAAATGCTCCAACATTAGTACAAGAATTTGGAGGGGCACAAAGAAGGGCACATTATAATCATGAAGAGACAGAAAGGCGTCTAAAAAGAGAAGAGACATCTGAAATAAGACAAAGGATTTTGGTGGAGAAGGTGCAAGGCTTACACAGGGAACATATACAAAAACTTGAAATATGGAGATCAGCATATGGGGGGCGGGGGGGCGTCATACAGCTGAAGCTAGATAGCATGTCGGAAGGACTGCAAAGAGCCTTTAGAAGCCATGTTAGTTTAGACTTTATCCAGAGAGAAATGACGAGCCTTTGAAGAGTTTGTTTTTGTTTTGTTTTTAAAGCAATGAGGTGACCTCATGAGATTTACTTTTTCAAAAACCAATCTCTCAGTATATGAAAGATATGTGGAAAAAAAGTATGTGAAAGAGTAAGGCCATGTGATGACGAAGAAACCAGAAAGGAAGCTATTAAAGTAATCCTGAAAAGTGTACCTTTAGTATATGGTAGTGGGAATAATAAACAGGGATACACAGGAGATAGAATCCATCAACCAAGCTTGGTGATGTGGGGGGTTTTAGATAATAAGCCAAAATTGACACACATTTCCTCAAAAAGTTTATAAACATTGAGTTACCATATAGCCCAGTAATTACACTCCTAGGTATATACCCAGGAGAAATGAAAACATCTACCCATATAGGAATTTGTACCCAAATGTTTATACTGCAGCATTATCCATAACAGTCAAAAAGTGGAAACAACCCAAATGTCCATCAATGAATGAACAAATTATGATGTATACGTACAATGGAATATTATTCAGCCATTAAAAAGGGAATTTAAGTGCTGATACATGCTACAACTTAGATGAACCTCAAAAACATCAGGCTAAGTGAAAGAAACCAGACACATAAGGTGACATATTGTATGACTCCTTTTATATCCACAAATCCGGAGACAGAAAGCAAAATGGGGGGTGAGGGTGGGGGGGGGTGGGATGGGACGGAGATAGAGTATGATAAATGAGTATGGGAGTTTTTGGTGGGGTGATGAAAATGTTTCGAAACTGAAAAGAGACGGTGGTTGCACAACATTGTGAATACACTAAATACCACTGAACTGTACACTTTAACATGGCTAGTTTTTTTAAAAAATGGTTAGTTTTATGTTATCTGAATTTCAACTCAATTTTTTAAAATGATAAATAGGTTTCTACATAGGGCAACTGGGTAGGAGTCTGTTTTTTTCTCTGAAATGGGAATTATAATAAAGATGTGCTGATTTTAGGGGTGAGGGAAAGAAATAATGATAGGTTTGGTTTTAAGTACCTATGGGGCATAAACAACACATTGTTTTGTTTGTTTTTTTATATCTTTACTGGAGTATAATTGCTTTACAATGTTGTGTTAGTTTCTGCTGTACAACAAGGCGAATCAGCAATATGTATACATATATCTCCATATCCCCTCCTCCCTCTTGAGCCTCCCTCCCACCCTCCCTATCCCACCCCTCTAAGGTTGTCACAAAGCACCGAGCTGATCTCCCTGTGCTATGTGGCAGCTTCTCACTAGCTATCTATTTTACATTTGGTAGTGTATATATCAGTGCCACTCTCTCACTTCGTCCCAGCTTCCCGCCCCGCCCTGTGTCCTCAAGTCTGTTCTCTACGTCTGCATCTTTATTCCTGCCCTGCCACTAGGTTCATCAGTACCGTTAAATACATTGTTTTAAAAAGAAATTTGAGCTAGAGACTTGGGGTTATCAGAATATTGCTGATAATTGAAGCCATAAGAGTGGTTAGTGGCATCACCCAAAGAAGAGCCTGAAGTGTGAACTGTAGAGAATCTTAACTAAAGGAATTCTAGAGAATACCAATATTGGGGGGATTAAAACAAAGAAGTGGCTACAAAAGTGACAGAAGTAGGAAGAAAAGCAGGAAAAAGCTAGATCAAAGAAGCCAAAGGAGGGCTTCCCTG